GGGGCAGGGGCAGGGGCAGGGGGGGGCAGTTCAGAGGAACAGCAGCCTGTCCATTCTAAAGTCATGGCAATGAAGTCTGCTCTGGCGTTTGTCACCTTGATATCGGTGTAACCGCGCTGTCCGCGCTTCGGTCTCTTTGTTTCTCGTAAATGTCTCTCGTGGGGTTTCGAAAGAGCGATCGTTCTGAGCAGCGCCGGTCCCTGTAGCTGTGCTGCCCGTGGTGTATCTAAGCCGGTTGTTCATGCTCGGTGGCTTTGTGACTCGGGCTCCCACAAGCAGCTGTGTCACATCCGCGGTGACAGGTACGTGTCCGTGTGCAGTGGTGAGAGGAGGAGGCCTCTGCGGGCCCGTGTGCGGGTCCTCGGCAGCCTTCGTAAGGCCCTCGGTGGGCGAGAGGGACCTGAGGGATGGCATTGCCCCTTCACCCGCACCAGGCGTACCTGCGATGGGGTTCTGAGAAGTCAGATGATGGTGAATCCCACCTGCGTGCATCCAGTTTCAGGGTCTTTGCCGTTAGTTTTGTGCTGCTGCCACGCTCCTCCGTCTTGTCAGGGCACCTCCTAAATGGTTTTATCTGATTTTGTTCTGTAGGTACAAAGTCTGAAGTGCAAAATCATCATGCAAGCAGATACGCTGCTTACATAAATTCTCACTAGTTAATATAATATTGCTTGTTTTAACTTAATATATTATGTTTGCTTCTTGCCTGGAATACATGTCCTGAGGTGTCTGTTTTGTTCTGTCTGTAGCAATGGCTTCAGGAACAGCGCTGATTTATGACGAGGAGATGACCACTCATAAACTGCTTTGGAGTGAGTAAGTCACTGCCGTTGTTTTTATTAATGGATTCTTATTAGGACTTCTGAGAGAAGTACCAAGTGAATGCAGTTTTTGTAAATGTAATAGGAAATACCTAGTGATAGATACCCTGTCATTTTCCTAGTAAATAAGTCTAAAATAAGTCAATAAATAAGTAAATAAGTCTGTAAATTTCTTTCCAAAAGTCTTTCCTTTTGGAGAAGAAATTTTTATTTTATTCCCAATTTGTATCCAGGTGCCATAATGATAATCTGAAGCTGGATTTGAGAAGCTGTAGGCCTCCAGTCTGGTAGGCCTTAACAAGAACTGTTAGCTTTAAGCAAGAGAGTAGCCCCTTAAATAAAGTATTTTAAGGTAATTAAATTGTTTATAAAGCTCAGGTATCATTGATCTTGGAAAAAATATGTAGGTATACTTGCTCAGCTGAAACCCATCAATTAAATTCAGTTAGAAGTGGGTATATGCCACTTGCTTAAATTTACCTAGGTTAGACCAGTACCTTTGCAGTGCTCAGAGTAACAGTCCACTGTTGTCTTCTCTCCCAAACCCACTTCTCCTCTGTTCACCTTCATTGTAATCTACAGCTTTTCCTTTCAGCATTCCTGGGGCTGCAGTTAAGGATTGCTACTTTCAGTGGTGAGAGAGGAAACAAAAAATTATGCTATTGTGTTTCTTTTTTATTTAAGAACCATATATATTTTTTCTGTGTACATATTTCAGTACAATTTTTGGCTCAATTCCAAAACAAAAAGTATTTAAAAATTTTATTTTTCTTTTACTCTTACACATTTCTCTATAAGGTTAATTAATCTTTTTACAATGGGAAGTTAAAAGCTAGGCATTATGAAGTGTATTTATTAGCTGTGCTGGTATAGTATTATAGTAATATTATTATTGCTTATTTTTAGTCCTATTTGTGATATTGAAGTGCCAGAAAGACTGTCATCCTCTTACGAGCAGCTTAAACGTTACCATCTTGTGGAAAGATGTGTCCATGTGCCTGCCAGAGAAGGAAGTGATGAGGAGATCCTGTTGGTTCACAGGTCTGAAACTTACTTTCATCACTGTTCAGATTAATTCAATGAAATAACAGATCTCATACTTGCAGGTCAGATTTTGCTCCCTTTGAAAAGGTCTGCTCCAAAAGTCAATGACTTCCAGTAATTTCAATGGAAAACACACAAAGTTAGACAAATCATGTTGAGTATGGTGCAGGTGCTGAAGTATGAATCTGCTGTTCCACAAAATCCTCTTTCTCACGCTTTGGGTTCTTAAGCGATGAATGCTGACTTATACATAGGATTAAAAGTAAACTTCTAATAAAAATTGGGACAAGACTTTAAAAAGTGTAGAAATCTGTGTATTTCTTTAGAAAGATAACCTCGTCTTTCTCCCGGTCATCTTTGAAATAGAGTGAACCAAACAGAAAAGAACTTTGCAGCTAATTCTGAGGGGGGGCAGGGGCAGGGTGGGGGCAGTTCAGGGGAACAGCAGCCTGCCCTTTCTAAAGTCATGGCAATGAATTCTGCTCTGGCGTTTGTCACCTTGATGTGATGATTCTGCAACCAACTGTGGATGATTCTGTGTGTTGCTTGTGCATCATTTGCCCTTGTCAGGGAGCAGCAGGGACAGCCTTCTCTGAAAGGGCAAGGGGAGTCTGAAGCAGAGTGTGATGACAAAGCAGCTGGAGGCAGTGGCTTCATGGACAAGGTCACAACCCCACAATACCCAAGCAAGGCAAGCAGCGCAGGTCCAGTGATGGTAACCAGAATCAGCCATGAGTTTGGATCGCCTGACAAGGCTGTAGTGACGTGGCAGGTCTGAGGTCAAGCTACAGGGTCAGCCCACAGGTCAGGATTTAGGTCCAGATGAGCATGGTTCATGGCCAGACACGCATGGCTACACAACACGGCTGCAGTGTAGCCAAGGGTGAGAGCGAGCGCCAAGGGAAGGAGCGGGAGCCTCTGCTGAGAATTCTTAGCAGAGCTGTTTGGAGGAATAGCTTCTAGCTTTCTCTTTCAAGGTGACCAGCTGTACTGTTTCTGCTAGTTCTGAACCCAGCAGCCAAACCCCAGCAGGGAAGGGATGCACTTGAGGCCCTGACACCTGTGATGAGGACCATAGATTGATCCTAAGTCATGCTTAAATTTTTCAGATTCCAGAACAGTATTTTTCCTAAGAATATACTTTTTGTTAGAATTCAATTAGTGCTGTGTACCAATATAATTTATTTCCATAGTAAATACATTGCTGATTGGGTATGGAAGAGGCTTAATCACCATTTCCAGTTGAGTTGCTCCTCCTGGATGATCAGGGACAAATGACTTCACTAAGTCTTGTCATGGTTTCTATAGGTAAGCTAGACATAATAGAACTCTTTTCTTTCTAAAACACTTTTAGATTGGAACAAATTTAAAACTCCCAGAAAAATGTTTGTGTTCACAGTTAGTTATGAGGCTGCTGCTGAAGTTATCCTAGTGGTTATACAGTCATTCATGTTCTGTGGTTTTATTCTTGTTAATGCCTTCATTTTGAAGCCACTGGTCAGCTTTATTTCCATGAGGCAGCACTATTGTGTCTCCCTTTGTTGTGAAATTCTGGTTGCTTTGGCATTGTCCACCTAGAGGACGTGTGGTCATTGTGTCCTGGATTAGGGCACAGATGGGAGAGTAGATGCCATCAGCCTTCATTTCTGGTTTACTACACGAGGGCAGGAGAGCAGCAACAGAGAATTAAGGAACATTGATTCTAGTGCCTTAGTGCTTATTGCAGCTTGAACCAGTGAAAAGAGGGAGTTAATACACACCTGAGAAGGGATGCATTCAAATACTTATTTTCTGTAGAACATGGGAACACTAGACACACATTCTCAGAGTTATAATTCACACTTTTGCTGACTGTCAGAATCTTAATTTGATTCTTGTTGGGATGGTATGTGTATGTAGTGTGGATTGCAAAATGTGCATGATGAACAAAGAGCCTTTATTTTGAAAGCAGTTGCTCTTGCCACTGGAAAAGGGAGAAGAATGTAATATTCTTAAGATATCCAAGAACCCTTGCTTTCATAGCACTCATTTTTTTTTTCACTATATCCTGCAACTAGCATTACAGAGTACATATTGGACTTGTGAAGTCTCACAGAAAGCCCCTTTTAACATATGTTCTGTTACTTTTAATTACATTTTGCATTAAAAAAAAACCTTTGTAGGTCTCTTTGCCTAATTAAGCGTTGTGTTAATCTCTCTCTCCTCTGCAGTTTGGAACACTTGGAAGTGGCAAAAAGTACCCAGACAATGAATGAAGAGGAACTGAAAAGAGTCTCTGGAAATTATGATGCTTTTTTCTTTCATCCGGTGTGTAAGTTAAACTACTTCTCTTACTGGGACTTAGAAGCATTTGTGTTTTTGCACCTGAGTGGCACTTGTCTAAGTAGAGGAAAATTAGCAGTACGTTTTTGCTATTTCAGTGGACTTAGATATATTTATGACATTATTGTTATCTGTTTCAAGTTTAGTATAATGCTGTAATTTAAATTGATTAAGTGTCTTGTCATCTATTCTGTAATTGCATCCTGCCAGTATAGCTCACTACTCAAATTTTAGCTCTTTTTTTGCCACTTAATGTCACTGCAGACCATTAGTGACCCACAAATCACATTTTGGTAACAATTGCTCTTAAACTTTATGCCAGGTAGTGGAGGTGAAGTCTTTTGTGTTTTGTTTCTGTAAGGTTTCATTCCTTGTTTTCAAAGGTGCCATGTTATTCCACTAGTCAGTTCAGTATGTCCACCTCATGTTTTTTAACAGCTCCAGAGAGAACATCCTTATAAAGGATACGAGGATCAAAGGTAAACCTAGTAGAAAGGACACCGGAATTTGTGTTGTGAAGTTCTGCCCTCAACTATCTGAGTACAACCTCAGTAGGGGAGACTTAAGACGATTTGCTGTTGGGGTGCAAAAGCACATCATGTGTGATTAGTTTAGAACAAGCTGATGGGTGATTGATGACAAGAGATTCCCTTTTTCAGAACACTTATCGCTGTGCCAAACTAGCAGTAGGAGCAACTTTGCAGCTGGTGGATGCTGTGATGTCAGGAAAAGTGTGCAATGGAATGGCATTAGTAAGGTAAGAAAATCTGTGAGGAAGTCTTTGCTTCTCCCCAGTTTCCTTTGTTGTGAGTAACCATGTAAAACTTTGTCTTAGACCTCCAGGTCACCACAGCCAGAGAAATGCAGCTAATGGGTTCTGTTTGTTCAACAACGTTGCTATTGCAGCAGAATATGTAAAACTGAAATATGGTCTACAGAGGTAAGTGCGTGGCTGACCCTGGAGAAGCATATCGGTTGTCAGTATGGCATTTAGATAACTGCCTGATGTTGTGCCATTTTAGATTAATGTCTAGAGCTTTCTGAGTGTTGTGTAACTTCTGGGACAGAAAAACATTGTTCATCTGTACCTCCTTTAGATCAAGATGCTGAGGTTCTTCTGCTGAATGTTTTCTTTTACTGATCTCTGCAGAATCCTAATTGTTGACTGGGATGTGCACCATGGGCAAGGAACTCAATATATATTTGCAGAGGATCCAAGGTTTGAAGGATTTTTTTTATTTTTATATATATATATATATATATATATACACACACATAGTAGCTGGTTAAATACCGCTTTGCTCTGTAATGAATAAGATTTCTTAACTTTCTAAAACTAGAATATTACAAAACACAAAACTTTCTCCTTGCTATTTTAGTCACTTTGTTGTTTTTACTTGTCATTAAATAGAGGAAAAATTCTAACATAAATATGCAAATCTATTCTACTGTAAATAATAACAATCAAAATGAGTATTTTAGCAGTTTTCCTGAGTTCATTTTGGCATAGGACCTACTGTATCAAGTTTTGCAGTCCAAGCCCATTAAGAGAACTAAGGGGAAAGGATGAGTTTCAGTTAATACAACCATGCTTTCAGTTAATACAACCACCAGGTTCAGGATATAAAGAAACTTTCAGAATCTTCTTGTCAAGTTGGATTTGTTTCTTGTATCTTTCAGTGTTTTGTATTTTTCCTGGCATCGCTATGAACATCAGGAATTCTGGCCATCACTCAAAGAATCTGATTATGATGCTGTGGGTCTGGGAAAAGGAAAAGGTTTCAACATAAATTTGCCTTGGAATAAGGTATATGTTGTTTACAGTGCAACAAAGCAAGTGTAATAGCTTTCTGTCTCATGCTTTACGTAACACTTCCTGAGAAGTCCACTACTTTGCCTGCTTGGCAGGTGTCTTAGCACAGTGTACCTCCTTCCTGTCAGTGGAATGTCTGCTAAGAAATGTGGCTGAGAATATCATAGAATCATAGAATGGTTTGGATTGGAAGGGACCTTAAAGATCATCTAGTTCCAACCCCCCTGCCATCAGCAGGGACATCTTCCACTAGATCAGGTTGCTTGAAGCCTCATCCAGCCTGGCCTTAAACACTTCCAGGGAGGGGGCATCTACAGCTTCCTTGGGCAACCTGTTCCAGTGTCTGACCACCCTCACAGTGAATATGATAATGTTTAAAAAAAAAAAAAAGAGAGAGAAACATGTGCACTTTTTTTTTTTCTTTAATATCTTACTTGACCTCATAAGGTTCCCTTATCTTTAACTTTTGATACTATCTTTCC